CATGTATGTTTATTGTTCAAAGTTCTTATGTAAAAGAACCCATTTATTTTTTCAACTGAAGCATGTACACGCCACATACATCCCCTTGATTCCTTATATGCACATTCTACCATAACCCTCAGCTTGTTATTTTTAACATACGTAAACTGAAAACCAACCTTAATAGCATATTTGCATAAAACAATACGGAACTCAACCACACCACGTCAAACTTTTGTCTAACACTCGTAATATTTATTCGCCAACCAGCTACAATAACACGTTTTCTTGGTGAGAACAAAACGTAGAGAGTGAATTCCTTTCAATATCCACGAGCCTATCACATTCACTATGCACAACATCTACTCAATTAGACCCCACTTCATCCTCTTGATCAAAAGTACTACATCTAATAACTGAAACATCAACTATATCAACACCACGTGCACAAACGACCCTCAACATATTTAGAAAATCAATATTATTTCAAACCATATAACTCGGATGGCCCACAATAGAATATGAAATACACATCGTCTCATGTTTCAAATTCTCCCATGTTTTACATAAAATGTCAACCAATTCCTCAAAATTCAATTCGCATGAAACATTAATGACAATAGTATCATTCCTATATTTGCACAACAACAACACTGCATTGTCCATCTAAACTGAAAGAAAAAATACGAAAAATAACTTGTTCAATATAAAAACACTTCACAAGAACAACATAAAAGTCTAGAGAAATTTCTAATAATTATAATTTTCTTTGGATTATAATAACAAGCTTATAATTTTCTCTGAACTCAAATAAAAGTGCAGAGAAATTTACAAACTTAAATTCACCTTCAAGATAAAAATTAATCAATCACAGAGAAAATTAATGAATCTAGAGAAAATCATAAAGAAATTTAATGCAAACTATTAAACACAATCATAGACAAAAAATCACACAGAAGGTCTGTTATGAAATTATAAGCTTCTCTGTGATTTTCACTGGACTACAAGCTTACAATTCTCTCTGTGTAATTGTGTAGTATTGGACTCAAATCAAAATCTAGAGAAATTTACGAACTTATATTCACATTTAAGATAACAAAAATAAAATCACAAAGAAAATTAATGAGTCCATAGAAACTCACAGAGAAAATTAATGAATCTAGAGAAAATCACAGACAAAATTAATACTAACTATTAAACACAATCACTGACAAAAATCACAAAGAAGATCTGTTATGAAATTATAATCTTCTTTGTGATTTTCACTGGATTAGAAGCTTACAATTTTATCTGTGATTTTCGTTAGATTATAATAACTAACATACAATTTTCTCTGGAATACAAAGAAAAGTGCAGAAAAAATGAAAAGTATAGGAGAAAAAAAAACAGAGCACAAAACTTAGGAAAGTGCAGAAAAACAGAGCCGATCTCCAAACACAAAGAACAAAACTTATCATTGATAAACATGTAACAGAGAACGAAAAATCAACCCCAAAAATCAAAATCAACTCCATTGTCAATAACAAAAAAAAAAAAAAAAAAAAAAAAAACTACACTAAGTTGGTTTTTCTCTCACATTGATCAAAACTGAAAACAAAAACCTAATTCAAAATACACCACAAAAACTTCTCTGAAATTGGAGTCTTTAAATACAAATCAAATGAGAAATCAAAAACTTACACTGATTATTAAACTTACCTGATTCAACTCCACTGGAAATCCGAGCTTTAACACGACTTCAACTTCTACATGATCAATGAAAATCAACTTCTACATGACTATAAAATCCCCGTAAAATCTTCATGAAAATCTGCATCATCAAAATCTCCATCTCCAAGTTCATCCCAAAGTAATCTCCTACAAAAATAGTAACGTAATCTTCAGTTTTCAAAATTGAAAACCACGTATATTATAAGGAAGTGTAACATAGGTATTTTATAAATTAAAATAACATTGAGAGACCTTAGGCATAAAAAAATATTATTATAGATCTTTCCTCATACTAAAAGTTAGATAGGGATTTTAGACCAATTTTTTCATTGTTAATCCAATCTCACCCCCTTCAAGCTAAAACAAAAAAGACCTACGAAAATGTTAAACTCCACATTTATCATCTGTTACTATACATTTTATTATTATTAATATAATAGGCTCTTCATATATTTCATATTTATTATTTAATGTTGGCACATTTTAGTGTCATTGATATAAGACTCTACATACATGTTAATATTTAAATGTGTCATATTTATTATATGATAAATACAAACAATAAAAGCAAATAGTCAACTTAGCATTTTTGCTTTCACAATTTTCACTTCAATTGACTAATGAAAAATTATTGCCCAATGAAGAATATCGCTTTTGCAATTAGGATTGCAGAAGGAATCGAGCTAGCTGGCTTTGTTCAGTTGGATTTCTTTAGTAAACTAACTGAACTTGAATTCGAATACGATCGATTCGTTTATTTTTATTTAAATTATATAATAAATATATTATTTATATATTAAATAATATATAAATAATAAAAAAATATTATCAAGTCGAATCGAGTTCAAATTTCATTAATATTAACAAGTTGAGCCGAATTCGAACCCAGTTAGTTATTGAGCCAACTTTGAATTTAATAAACGAGTTCAATAACAAACGAGTCAAGCTTGAATTGAGTAAAGCTTTGCTTAACTCAATTTGTTTGCAGCTCTATTTGCAATCATACTTTAATTGTCTAGTGAAAAGTTGCGGCCTAATAAGCTTATTAGTAAATGAGGATATGTCCAATAAGTCTTAGGGCTCGTTTGGCAACCGAATTTTTTAGCTAAAAAGTTAAAAAGTTACTAAATTAGCCAAAAAGTCAATAACTCATACTAAAAAGTCGATGATTCTCTTTTCTCTCTACTTTTTGCACATCTTTTCGTAAAAAGTCAAAAAATCATCCCAAACATACTAATTTTTTTTAACTCATATTTTAGCCAAACAGCCAAAAAGTTACTAAATTAGCCTGCTCCCAAACGAGATCTTATTATGCTACCACATAGTAATGTAAGATTTAATCAATTAAAATATAATTATACAAGAGATTATTAGCCGCAATGTTGTAAGGTCAACACTTTCACAATTGTACTTCAATTAACTAGTGAGAAAACTAGGGGCCTAATTTTAAGCAAATAGTCAACTTAGCATTTTTGCTTTCACAATTTTCACTTCAATTGACTAATGAAAAATTATTGCCCAATGAAGAATATCGCTTTTGCAATTAGGATTGCAGAAGGAATCGAGCTAGCTGGCTTTGTTCAGTTGGATTTCTTTAGTAAACTAACTGAACTTGAATTCGAATACGATCGATTCGTTTATTTTTATTTAAATTATATAATAAATATATTATTTATATATTAAATAATAAATAATATATAAATAATAAAAAAAATATTATCGAGTCGAGTCGAGTTCAAATTTTATTAATATTAACAAGTTGAGCCGAATTCGAACCCAGTTAGTTATTGAGCCAAGTTCGAACTTAATAAACGAGTTCAATAACAAACGAGTCAAGCTTGAATTGAGTAAAGCTTTGCTTAACTCAATTTGTTTGCAGCTCTATTTGCAATCATACTTTAATTGTCTAGTGAAAAGTGGGCCTAATAAGCTTATTAGTAAATGAGGATACGTCCAGTAAGTCTTAGGGCTCGTTTGGCAACCGAATTTTTTAGCTAAAAAGTTAAAAAGTTACTAAATTAGTCAAAAAGCCAATAATTCATACCAAAAAGTTGAATATTCTCTTTTCTCTCTACTTTTTGCACATCTTTTCGTAAAAAGTCAAAAAATCATCCCATTCTCTCTACTTTTTGCACATCTTTTCGTAAAAAGTCAAAAAATCATCCCAAACATACTAATTTTTTTTAACTCATATTTTAACCAAATAGCCAAAAAGTTACTAAATTAACATGTTCCCAAACGAGGTCTTATTATGCTACCACATAGTAATGTAAGATTTAATCAATTAAAATATAATCATACAAGAGATTATTAGCCGCAATGTTGTAAGGTCAACACTTTCATAATTGTACTTTAATTAACTAGTGAGAAAACTGGGGGCCTAAATTTAAATCTTTAAATGAAGACATCTCCGATAAGTTTTATTAGGCTAATGCAACTTCATACTCCCTCCGTCCCAAAATATTAGTCTCTTATTCTATTTTTTATTGTCCCAAAATATTAATCCCTCTTAAAAAATCAAGTACAAAAATAATATAAATTTCCTATTTTACCCTTCTTTTAAATTAATAAACAATTTAAAAAGTACAATTATGACATTGATATTCCCAAAAAATGTACTATCAAAAGGATAATTTTGAAAAATTAACTTTTTTCAAATACAATAATTGTACTACCAAAAAAAATTAGATTTCCCAAAAAGGACCATTATTTTAGGACGGAAGGAGTATATTTTTTAATAATTTCTTTGCACATGAACTTGCTTATTTGTTTTAAATTTTACTGGTTTAATAAGGACAACTAAAATATATTTGTTATCTTAACGAAAAAACATTTCTAGACAAAAATACATTTTAATGTAATTTTATTACCCTCCTGCCTCCAACCACCACTGATGATTACCCCGGGTTGCCAGTGAATTTTTCAACGACTCTCCAGTGAAATCAAATTTCACTAACTTTTATTGTAAATCAGTGCAATTATTGGCCAAACAAAATTGAATTTTTATTTTGTCAGCATAGTGGATCTTGATTTTTTTTTATACTGAAATTGCATTACAATTCACTGGAGAAGGGCCATATCCACATGTTGATAATCAACCAACGGATGGCAAAGGTGAGAATAGCTAGCATGTACCACCGTAATGATCCTGACTGTGAACTAAGAACACGTGATGAAGTGTTTCATCCATCCCCACGAATTTGGGTATTTCGCAAATGGCATGTCATAAAATCCATCCCCCACGAATATAAAATGTCAAAGGGAAGGCATTGTTTGTCTAACTTGAAAAAAAAAAAAAAAAAACTGAGACGTAAGCAATCAGGCAGCAGAAAACATAACATAGACAAAGCACAAAGTTGGATGACAATATCCCTGAGCTCATCAAACAGGTTTTATCCAACAGAATAACATTCTATAACATGGAAAAAGGGCCCAACGTACACAACAAGCCTCTTGGCTTATAGGAAAGCATCCTTCTCTAGCAATTTCAGTACATCATGCTGGTTGTTCAGCTTGGCAACATCGAGGGGAGTTTTACCATCCAAATTCTGGAGAGTACTGCAGCAATGAAAGCATGGGAATAAAAGAAAAAAACAAAGAACGTATAAACCGAGCAAGTAAAAATAATGACGACGACAGCAGGAAAATTTAGATCACAGAGGTTGACTTACACAGCAGCACCATGTTCCAGCAGAAGTGCTACACACTCCTTCCTGCCATAACCAGCAGCATAATGAAGCGCAGTGTTCTTATTCTTATCCAAAGCATCCACCATTGCTCCAGCCTCAAGGAGGATTTGTGCGCACTTGACCTGCGATGAAATCAAGTAGATCAGCTTACTTTTGTTTTTGTTCTTTTAATTATTACGAGGAACCCCCTGAGCCCACCTTCGGTGAGACCCAGGGTAAACCCTGGATAAGTACAACCCACCTGCTTAACAAAAAAAGAGTAGATCAGCTTAGCTACTTACAGTGTTCTGTTATCATTTTTTTATACAAAAAAAATAAGAGAGGGACCCTCATCACAAATGAAAACAAGGTGTGGAGGCAACATTTTACCAAAAATCCAATGTGATGACCACCATTTTCCACCTAAGCAGCATGGAGTCAGACACTAGCAAACACTTCCCAACATGTATTGGACACACATCCAAATGTATTCTATTGGTTTTTAATTTTTTCAGATCCAAACACATTTCAGACACTTAGTGACGTGTACTTTGCCAAGATACACATGAAACACAAGTTTGAAAAAAATAACTTTGGGATCTAGCGATAAAAGAAAAACAATGTAGAATTATAAAATCATTCCTCCTTCAAACTGTAGAAATTAGTGTAATGTTGCATTTTTTTAAATAATATTTGAACGAAATATTTCATATATAACAAAAAATATATAGAATCATATATTTTGCACGTGAACCCATGTGTCATGTCCTGTAATTTTTTTTAAAATTGTTGCGTCAGCGTGACACATGTTGCATGTCCATTTTCCTAAAACACCCATTTAAGATGATGAATTTGCACTCAATGGCTACATAAAGCACAATAGATCTGCTAGCATCTTGGTCTCGAGTTCGTGATTTAATAAAGCAATTTATTCATTTGTGGAAGGAGGATTATTGATTTTTTATTCCCTGTTGCACAAGGATTTGGGCTTGCTCTCCACAAAAAAATATTATAAGGATTTTTGGCATCAAAATAGGGATAGGTGTTCGGCATTGCAAAAAACATTTTGGAGCAAAACCATCAACAACTTGTATCCAAATGAAAGAATTCTAGCTTTGGTTTTAATACTCTTCTTGGGTTTTTGATGTGGGTACCCTTTTTGGTTAATGTTTGGGAAAATCCAATTTGACGCAATCTATGTCATTCTAGTGAACCATTTGGGTTGTTTTTGCTAAGATTCTAACAATAACATTTTGTGTGTGAACCATGCAATGTTTTTGTTATGTGTTTCTTAACCCCATTTAAATGGCTATTATTATTCTTCTGGTAATTCCTAGGCCAGTTCAAGAAATAAGATTGAGAGTGAAGCCCAAGTATGTTCTGCCAATGTTCACAAAATATGGCCCTTTTCCTGTAGGGGTGGATGATGCAATCCAAATGCAAATCAAGGAACAAATTGAGAGAGAGAAGACAAATGCCCCAATTAGGGGTAAACCCTAAGGGCTAGAGAGAAACCAAGCTCTACTCCAATCACAATGTATATTCTTTAATCCGAAAAACTAAGTACAATGGTAATACATCACTTATTTATAGAATACAACTATGCTATGGGCACTTATTCTACTACATCAGTAGGGCTGGCATTTAAAGTGGACCACAAGAAGTGTGTTAGATTCAAATGGAAAGGAAAGGCACTACAAAAAATCCATTTGTTAAAAATTCACTCTTCAGCTCCAAAACTTCATGATCCATTTTCAAATGTGAAATAAGTGTTGCGCACAAAGTTATTAGGGGACATAACCTGCTAGTGGAGCTCAGAAAAAATAATTACAAAAAAGTGATAAACATTATAAATATTAATAATTAAAATTAAAAACTTTTTCATTAATGTGTAATAATTTTTATAGATTACCACCGATTGGTAATTTCCCCAAGTTATTACCCATAGATTTGTCTCTTTGCTGGCCTCCTCCTTTCAATTTCTCTACAGCCTTCCTCTAGACTGTTCTATATCTACATCTCTCTATAAGCTTTCAATTCAATGGTTTCTTTCTATCTCAACCTTTCTCTTTATATTTTATATTTAACTCTCTTTTTGGTCTTTATATCTCACTCCTAATATTCTCCCTCTAGTTTGTCTCTTGATTTTCTCTAATCTATCTGTATCTATTCTATGCAATCATGGAGATGAAGCATGTGAGTGGACCTCCACATAAGCACATGATGTATATTTCAATTTTTGATGTAGATTGTCTAATGGCACATTAATCTAAACTATGTACAACCCAACCAAAAGTTGTATGTCCTATTCGTTGTTCCATACTAGATAGTTCACCAACACCAAGAACATATTGTAATGCCCCGGGTCTTTCTAGCACAAAAGGCTAGCCAATTGTGGTGGGGTAGGTGCCTAGAATTATAAACTCGCCCCAGGTTTACCTCTTCTTCTGATGTAGGATTAGGGTCTCACAGGGCCCACCACACTGTTGCCACGTGTCCCCACGTGCACCCATACATCACGGGTGACACGAAGCCTCACATGTGGCCCCATCCATTACGAAGAGGTCAGCCATGATACTATTTGTAACCCTGGATCCTTCTAGCACAAAAGGTAAGCCAATTGTGGAAGTGCCTGGGGGTTATAACTTAATACTTGCCCAGGTCTTCTCTTCTTCCTATGTGGGAGTGGGATTAGGGTCTCACATACATAATGTCAAATAGGAAAGAGAGGAAAAAAGAAGCTTGTCATTGAAAGTTCTATAATTTTCACACCTCATATTTTCAGTTCATAATGCTCTATAGGCTTGGGTATGCATGGAAAATTTGATAACCGCTGCAAGCATTGATCCTTGTCATGTTGAAGTAACTTTTGGATACAACTAAAAATTAAGTAATGAAAAGTTTTAGTGCTAAGTTAGTAGTGTAGTAATATTTAGGTACTAAAATTTCAAAACTAAACATTTATGTAAATTTATCCTTCCATATTAAAATTTCCAATCATGTTCCATAGGGCTATGTTACACGGACTAGGGTGCGGGCATCGGCTGTGGGTGCGTATCTAGGAGTCGAACACCTCAAAACTAAAAATTGAGGATACGTAAATATGGATCCAAATTTGGATATTGATACGGATACGGGATACGTTAAATAGTTATTTTTTAAAAATATATTTATTATACGAAGATGAGTTAAAAAAAAGTTGTACCAACATTTATCCACAAAAAAAAGAAGTTGTCACAACGATTTTTTTATAAATATGATAAATCATATGGATTAGCCGACCCCATTCGACGGGACTTAAGGTTTGGTTTGATTTTTATGATCAATCATATGGATAAGCCATATAACAGCCCATGTTATTAATAGAGATGTTGGCCAGATACAAAACACTAAAAGGCCTAAGTTTTTGTTGTTGAACATAGTTTATAAATAGGACCAACTAGAGGACATTCAATTGTCAATGAAGCTATGATTCAACAAATCCAGATCTTGAACCCAAACATCGAAGTAAGTATCTCAACCTCATTCTTCCTTTTTGATCACATCCAAGAGAGAGAAGGCAATTCCGACACAGATCCCACACCCATGTCATGTCGTGTTGACACGGGTACTTCGCCCCAAACAGCCAAGTCCATGTAACACAGCCATTGGGCATATTCAATATCCAGTAAAAAGGCAAATCTCTTTTATATCAACCGCAGACCTTTTTTAAGAAAGTAATTGATGAATGAATGTTATCAAAGCACTTAAGATATGCCAAAAGAATGTCCTCTTTGGGGCTGTCCTTTTTCTTAGACAGTCACTAAGGCCACCTTCTTCTGCTTCATCTCAAATGCTCAAAATCGTATTCAATCATGGTCGAGCTACTCTCATTAGGTATAGCATACTCTCCGTCTAAGGTGGCTTTCTTTGTTTGGTGTGTGGCTCATGGTAAAATCGTCACCACTTAAACATTTAATTTGATTAAAAGAAGGCAAGTGCATGTGCAAGTGGGATGCAGAAAGTGTTAAGTCACCTTCTTTTCCATTGTGAGGTGGTGTGGACGCTATGGTCCTTAACTCCTCTTGTTTGGTGTGGTGTGGATATCCTTTAATGAAGTGGGGAATTTTCTTTGCTCTGGGAGAGGGGTTCTTGAGGGGAGGAAGAAGACTTGGTTCTTAAACCCATTTCCAATCACATGGATCATTTGGGGAGAAAGGAATAGAAAAACTTTCACAGTAAAGAATCAATTTTAAAAGAGTAAACTTTGTATAGCTCGTTTTTCAGGAGGGATGAACTGTCCTTGACTCAATTTTTGGATTTTGTAGAGACCTTTGAGTGATGCTTTTGTGTATAGTTCCTTAATACTTTGTAAATAGGTGACACCCCCTTAGTGGCTCATCTTAGTAGAATCTTCTTATTTATAAAAATAAATAAATAAATGTGTCCCTTACAAGTACGCATTATATCATTTTAGTCCATAACATTTCAATTGTGTCGATTTCATACCCAAAGTATAAAATTTGTAGAAAAAACGTTTCCATCATTGATGCCGTTTGTATTAGTCATCAAAATTAGGGGTATTTTCTTAACAAACAATTACCCCTTTTTTTATTTATTTTATTTTTTGAAAAAAAGCCATTTACAAATTGCCACAGTTGAAATGTTGGGAATCATTAGAAAACACATACTTTAGGGACCAAAAGTGTAACTAACCTTTTTTTGTCCTCTCAACTCAAACCAAATATTAGCACACTTTCAGCGGTAAAGACACCACTACAACACCAGTACCAAGTTGAGAAGCACCATGCTTAAAAAGAATTAGAGACTATGGCTACAAGTTTATTATAAAAGCTAGGGCCCACTTGCTCACAGGAGTTTCAAAGCTAGTATATTAGTAGTGCATCCATTGTGGCCCCATTGATTGTAGCAATTGAATTACAAAAGAGAGAGAAAAAATGTGTGATACATCAGGGGTAAGAACCTACTGGCAGTCAGCATAATGAATAACCTATCCCTGCTTTCTGTTATTTTTAAGAAATACAGTGCTAAAACTTAATCAGTACAAGTCAGCATGCACACCCAACTAATTGAATAGAATCTATCACCAAAGAACATAAAAAAAACAGAGTAATATGCAGGCAGAAACACAACAAAAATATAAAGGCTTCACTTCAAAAGGCTATCATACCTCACCATATCCACATGCAAAATGCAATGCTGTCCTTCCCTCTGAATCCTCTTCATCTTTATCAGCACCAGAGGCCAATGCACTCTTCAAACCCTATTAATTGCACAAGGTAAAACTTGTGAAAACTTGCCTTGTATATTAACTACAAATGAAACACAGTGCTTATGAAACAAATTCACTTCATCTTAATTAAGTATATTATAAAAAAATTATGATGGCAAGGAAGCTGTCTATCAGTAAATATACCAAATAATTCTATCCATCACGGGATAATTCCCAATTGAATCTTACAAAGTTTGGTTATTTATCAAAAAAAATAAAAAATAAAAATAATTCCCAACTGAAAACGTAAGAGTCATTTTCCAAGCATTGGTTGTTTACCTCGCACACACTTCGCTTGAATTTTTGTCGACTTATCCACAAGTTTTAAAAGTGATACCAAAGTTAAGATTTCACAAACATGTTTATTTTATGAATGCCATTTAAAGTAATTAACTACAACCCCGTGACACCAAATAGTGCATAATTTCCAACTGAGGGCCTTCTAAGACGGTCAATAATTTCTTGCATTTATCAAGGAGCTACTCAGCGAGATAGAGATTATTAAAAATTTGGAATCCTCAAAATGAGCAGGAAACCATCTAGGGCACGTGTATAATGCTGTTTGGTACCAACTGATGCAGCATAGTTTACTAGCCACCAAGAATTATAGGCTTTCTGAATTGATGATGTATTTATTTGTCAATGTTATCGTATGTTCATACAAAAAAGTACATGTTATGATTCTAAATCCAGTTAAAAATATCTCTCTACACTCATTTGTACAAGAATTTCTCCCTAAGGTATAAGAATAACAATGCATGTAGTGGGCGTACAGAGATATTTAAGGTGTGTATTTAGAAGCTTCCCCCTACTGCCAAGGCAAACATTCCTCAAGACCAATGGTGTGTTCAATATGGAAAGAATTTTTGTCCATTCACAATTACTTTCCCCGCCAATATGGTCACCCGAACCACAAAAGTCAATAAAAGTCATGTTTTAATTTCTAAATGGCACAACTAAATACAAGAATTCTTTAATTGCCAAAATATGAGAGATATTTAAGGTGTGTATTTAGAAGCTTCCCCCTACTGCCAAGGCAAACATTCCTCAAGACCAATGGTGTGTTCAATATGGAAAGAATTTTTGTCCATTCACAATTACTTTCCCCGCCAATATGGTCACCCGAACCACAAAAGTCAATAAAAGTCATTTTTTAATTTCTAAATGGCACAACTAAACACAAGAATTCTTTAATTGCCAAAATATGCAAATTGATGGGAAAATGTGCACAAGTATACCCTTCAGCTTAAAACCCCACTTATTTTTATTCTATTTTACCTAGCCCTTGTACATGAAACTGAATCTGACCAAGCAAATTAAGATAATCAACCAGGTCAAATTTTCGTCCACTCCTCACCCTCCCCACTTGGTACAGATTAAAACTGCTGTTTCACAAATTAGGGACCGGAAGAGTTCAAGAAAAGTACTTCATCAAGGACCAGATGGTAACAAAGAACAGTAATAGCAAACACTGAATACCTCCACATCACCAACACTGGCAGTGTGATGAACAATGGATTCATCATCATTTCCTGGCTCTTCTGCTTCATCTGGCCCAGAATTTTCAGTGGAGGTAGCGGCATCTCCTGTGACTGCAACACCCATTGCTTCACCCAACTTCTGTAGAACATCTTTATCATTCCAGTACCTAGACAACACAAATAAATTTTCAAAACAATAGTGAGGCAAAAAAAAAAAAAAAAAGGGAAATAAAGAAAGTAAAAAAGTAAAATAAAGACAAAAATCTTCAGTTAAAAAAGTGTCACATCTTCAACAAGTGCATTTCTTTCCCATTTTTCTAATTAAGTAAAACAAACAAAGAGTTTCAAAAGAACTACAAATTATTGTTGGCCATTGTCTTTGTATCCCTTTTTTTGGGTTTCAAATTCCAACAGCCAAATTCTAGGTTCATTAAATCTAAGCTTAGACATCAAATTTTCATTAATGCTTTTAAATAATAAATTAAAACATAAGTGATATGAACTTTCCCTTGAAGGTTTGAAAGAAAGAGTGAGAGGGAGATATACGATGACGTTCATTTTCACTACAATCTATGAGATATATAAATATCTGGAAACTTGAATAAAAGTAATCTGTTTTAATGGATGCAGAAGTAACGTAGAGTGACCTGGGCATCAGTTATTTTGATCATATAGTATAATTTAAGACAGAATTCAAATAACCAAAATAAACTACCACATGCAGTTCATGTCCCTTTTTTTTACATGTAAAACGTGCATCACACGACGTGCTCTATTGTAATCATCAAAGGTGCAATGCACATTATCATATTCTATATGAAACATATGATGTTGTATAACATCAAATCTAAGAAGCATGGACACTTTTCAGAAGGTTGTATGTCCATGTCAGACACTCATCTAAACATGTCTTATCAGTCGTATTATTATTTTATTTCTAGACGTGGGCACACTTCAAACTCTTGGGGACACACTTGTCCATCAATACACATGATACTAATTATGAGTTTGAACAAAACAACTTTGGATACAATGATAGAAGAAAACAATATAGATCTATATGAATTAGCGTTATTTTGTATTTTTCATTATATTTGAATGATATATTCATATATATATATATAACATATTATAAATATATAAAACTTGTGTCTCCCCCATGTGTCGTGTCAAACAATTTTTTAAAATTGTAGTGTTAGTGTGTCCGTCGTGTCACATTTCTTGTCCATGCTTCTTACTTCTTAGCATACAATATTGATAATGTAAAAGAAGATATAGAAGTGCATAAAATCATATCATATATCATTATACTGGTGATGTAAAAACAAAAAGTAGCTAGATAATGATAAAACTAGAAAAGATTTACAAGGTCATACAATCATATCATATATCATTTATGATAGTGAGGTAATAATAAATAGAGCTAAAAATTGGTGAAAATACAATCTTAAATTAATATTTCTGACCTCATCATTGCAGCTGGACCTCCTGTTTCTATCTCCTCTAAGATAGGTTTCAAAGCTGGATCTTCTTTGATGCGCACCATTCGTTCTTCAAGTTGGTCTTTGTGAGAAGGATTAGTCAGGCTGTCAAGCATGCTGGACATTGATGGATCCTGTGAGAAGATATGACAAGTTTTGACCACCAGCTGCTAACCTTTTATTATCTCTTAAATAGATAAAATGACAATATATAAGAAGTTATACATACCTGCATCAATGCATTACCAAGGCGCTCAGCCATCGTCATAAATTGGGGATTCTGCATAACCTGTTGCATGGTTGAGTAGTACTGTTGCGTATCAAATTGAGGGATATCATCTTCAGCTGCTGCGCCATGAAGAGTCTTTTGGAGCTGCTCCGCCATCTGGTTAAATGCAGGATCCTTTGATATCTGTTCAGCTAATTCTTTAATGCTAGGGTCCTATATTTGTCATACAATCAACAGTTAGAAGTAATAAAAAAGAGAAATTAAATGAATTTTACAATAAAATCTTTTTTTAGGCAACAATGACAGTATAGACTAGTTGAAAATTCTTGAAAGAGAAAGGGTGTTGGTAGATTATTTTGTTATATGTAAGAGAAAGGGTGTTGGTTGATTATTTTGTTATATGTAATATCTAGTTGAAACCCTTTCTTTTCCAAATTGTCGAGTGGGCAACCAAAGATTACATATGCATCAACATAGGATAAAATTTTGTTAAACTCAATATGCAACTATACAAGTGACAAATTCATCTAAATAACAAGATTAAAAAATAAATAAATTACATTAAGTAGGCCAGTCATAGCTGAGAAATCAAAAGGATTTGCAGCAAACCCAGCTCCTGCAGAGGTTGGTCTTCTTTGTCCTGTCTGTGTGTCCACAGAGGATGATTCTGACTTTGGACTTTTGCTCTCTGTTGTAACAATCTTTTCATCTAAGAAGAGTAATATATGCAAGAATAACATGTTCATGAGCTTAAACAAGTCAACATTAAATTATTCCAAATGAGCTTTCTAATCAAAATAAAATATTACAAATGAAGTCATAATCAGTATGTACAAAATACAAATCACAAACTAGAAATAAAAAAGATAAATAATAATAAAACAAAAAATTCTAGAATAGCGCTGGTATTGCAAGATCAATCATTAAGCACAGGTTCGAGTTTTGACAAGAGGCAAGAGTGTTTACAATAGGCCATCCTTGGCTTTCTTCGTTTTCGATGAAAAACAAATCAAATCTCAATCTCCGAAAGTGTCAAGATACAAAACAAGCAGCCAGAAACAACTGTCCCTGTTGTATTTTAGATGGAGTCAGCTATAGGGCTAAGAAGGAGGGCGGACTTCTCTATTTCCCTGTTAGTGCACTACATCCTTTTCTCCGTTTAAGGCCCTTCTCCCTCTTAGTCAGGTGCTCGTGTTCTTGTTATCAAGGATTGGCATCACCAGGGTGAGTCTCTTTTTGGCCTCAGTAGGATATTTCCATTTTAGAATGAGGTTTTCTTTTTCTGTTAAGCGTCACAGCTATGAGACTTCCTAAAGAAAACCACAATCACAGTTTATCAACCACTAACAAGACCTTTCTTGATGCTGTTTCTCTTTTTTCAGTTTCTTATCAAGTAGGATTTCTTTTTATGTATCTTGTGGGTTTCTAAATTCAAATTGGTTTTGAACTTTTAGTCAAGTAAGATTCTTAGTAAGATCTTTGTGGGTGGTTTGTTTTTTTTTTTTATTGAAAAAAAAAAAAATGAATGAATTTGACAGCCCAACAAGTTTATTTTTATAACCCACAGATTTTCATTATAAGAAATTACAATTTTTCCAAAGGCCCATATAGTCTGTGTATTACAACCAAAGTGGTAAAAAAATGAAGAATACTTTATGATCCAAAAGCCCATAAGGTTTTTCTCCAATGTGGTCAAATATGAACAATACTCTATGATCCAATGATCCAGAGTATAAGAAGTTCAAGGAAGGCTAAATTCATAGAAGTGATGATACTTGGACATTGGCATGATGTCATATAGAAACTGATAAATTTTTTCTATAATTATGTTTCTAGCATTATTAGAGTCTTATTTTATTATTATTTTTATGTTTTCTAGGATTTTTAAGGTTATGGGTATTTTGGTAATTTTATATTTACTGACATAGGTTGTATGGGTCGCCCATGGATCGTCTTGTGGGTCAAGTTATTTAAATAGTCTTTGTTTTTGTTTTTGTTTGGTCTTAAATTAGTTTTAGAAGTCAAAAATATTATAATAATTTCATTTTTTTATTTTAATTGGTTTAGGAAGTCTTTTAGTTCTATATAAAGTCATGTAATGCCATTAATTCGATAGACTTAATATTTTAGAGAATTTTTTAAGTTTTGAAGCTTTCTTATGGTTTGTGTGATGCAATCAAACCCTAGGTGTGATGCCTAAGAGATTTTAGGAGTGATTCACAAACTTATCTTCTCCTTCTCCTTTCTCTCTTTCTTAAATTTCAGCACTTTCACAGCCACAAAACAGCCCTTACAACACTATCTTGCATCAATTTTGGTATCAAAGCGAAAGATCTTATTTTTTTGTGCAAGTTTCGAAACATGTCTATGCATCCTTGAAGATCTCTCAAAAGATGAATATTTTCTAAAAACCAAAGAGATCAAATTCTTTTTAAAATTGTCGAGTAATTAGATAGTTTTCAAGTTCGGCTTAATTCTTTGGAAAAACGAGCAGCCCAACAAAAGGTCGTAAACACTCATATTATAAGGGAAAAAAATAATCTGATTGATGAATCAAAAACACCCCAAGGGGCACCAACTTTGAAGAAATTTGTCAACCCAAATTCTGCGTGTTACAAGATAGATTTTGTGGATGACAAGCAAACTTTTTCCATAGGAAAAGATGACCAAATTTTGAAGAATGAAAAAACAGTTATTGATGATTCAAAATAAATCCAACAATCCCCTATAAAAATTGTTGTTCAAGAGTCTCAAGAGCAAGCTGCTGGTACAGAGCCAGACTTGTCTTTAGATGTTAATAAGTTACTAGCTGACTCTAATTTAGAGACAAGAGAGTTGTCTCTGGAGCCTACAGTTCTGCATAATGTCCAAATAGAAGATTCGGAGGCCACACAAGATGTAGGGATTGAAGAATTATAGCAACAAATTGCTGATATTGACCCTAATAAGGCCTTACAAGTCACCAATTTATTGCCTAAATTCTCTCCAACAAAGCCAAACAAGAACAAAATGCATGGAATGAATTTTGCAGCTCAATATTTGGATCAATTCAAGAATGCTTCAATTCCTTCTATTGATTTTGTCATTCTTGACATATTTAGTATCATGAAGGACAAAGATCAATTTCTCAAAATTTTTGTTCCTATCTCTAACAAAGAAAAGGCGGCGACAACATAAATATTTTAACATGAAGTCGTGGATGCAATTTCAAAACTTGTGAATGCTTATACTTCAACACTTCAAAACTCGAGGTCGAGTTTTTTCTAACCAAGGGAGACAGAGTATAAGAAACTCAAGGAAGGCTAAATTCGTAGAAGTGATGATATACTTGGACATTGGCATGATTTCATAGAGAAACTGATAGAAATCTTCTATAATTATATTTCTAGTATTATTAGAGTCTTATATTATTATTATATTTATGTTTTTTAGGATGTTTAAGGTTATGGGTATTTTGGTAATTTTATATTTACTGACATGGATTGTATGGGCCGCCCATGGGTCATCTTGTGGGTCAAGTTATTTAATTAGTCTTTATTTTTGTTTCTTATTTGGTCTTAAATTAGTTTTAAAAGTCAAAGATATTATAATAGTTTCTTTTTCTTTTTTTTGTTCTAGTTGGTTTATTAAGTCTCTTATAGACTTAACAATTCGATAAACTTAATATTTTAGAGAATTTTAAGAGCTTTGAAGCTCTCTTATAGATTGTGTGATGCAATCAAATCCTAGGTGTAATGCCTAAGAGATTCAAAGAGTGATTCCTGGACCTATCTTCTTCTCCTCCTTTCTTTCTTTCTTTCTTAAATTTCAGCACTTTCATAGCCCCAGAACAGCCCTTACAGCGCTGTCCTGCATCATCCAAAGTTTAAAATAATTTTTTTCTAATTTACCAACTAGTGACTATTAATTTAAGTCCACAAACGATTGTTCATGTCCCTCAAAGGCCACAATTGACAACACAAGAAACTCTGCCCATTACGCTTCAAAGGCCAACAATGGATAGTTCAAAAAGTGATTATCAACATCCGCTTTAAGTCTACAATGGACAGTTCATTAAATTAAGCCCACAGTAAATGTTGAAGTGGCATGGAAATTAAAATTAGGGAAATAAATAAGGACAATATAAACTTTTTAGAAAAATCATTAATGGAGTTAGACTTGGCACTTAACTCCAGACTACATGGAGGTTAAGTGTAAATTTTTAAACCTTGAGAGGGTAATATGTATTCGAGCTAAACCATTGGGAGATGAAGTGTAATTAACCCAACTATATATAGGCCTCATTAGGGAACTTGGCTATTTTAGTTAATTTTTTGGCTTTCTGGCTATTTTATGAGATGAAAAAAAGTTGTGATTGGGATGATTTGTGAGTTTTTTTGTAGTTAAATAGATGGTTGTGAGAGAAAAAGTGATTGATTGATGTGTAGGATGTGACACTTTATCTTATTAGTTATTTCAACTTTTTTTGTCTTTATTGGCTATTTTAGCCAAAAGAAACTCTTGCCAAACACCCCCATAGAGAGAGAGAGCTCATGGTTAAAACATATATATGATAATTGTAAATAAATTATATAAAAGATTTTGGTGTTTTAGAGATGTTTGGTGTAATTTTCTATTATTTTGATGTAATTTGATATTATTTGAAAAAATGGAGTTGAAGCTCTATTTGGCTCTGGTTTGCCGAACAAACCAAAATTTTTCGGCCTTTGGTAGTCGAACATATTAAGACTGTTTGGATAATTAAAGCCGAATATGACTAATTTCACCAATTTCAACCCATTTGGCTGACCAGAACCACAAAACTCAAATTCAAGAAAAAAAAAATGACAAAAAAATGGCGTTTATTCACACCACCACCCCAATTATCTCTCAGATCCTTCTCCCACCCACCATCATCCTCATCTATGGTGGTGAAAGACACAAAAGAGAGAGATGGGAGCTGTAAAAAAAAATGAGAGGTTAGGGACGAGTATATGTTTGGATAACGTGTAAAGAGATCTATGGTTGGAAAATGGTTAGTGTTACACGGTTAGTTCCAAATTTGGTTCCAAAATGGTTAGCGGAGCCTCATGTGTAGGTTCCAAAGTTGTTTGGTTTGTTATTTGCTAGTCCTTGCTTGTTTTCAATTATTTTAGTTTTAAATTTGGTTTAAGAAAACTTATTGTAGTTGGAATGAGGAAATCCTAGTAGGATAGCAATAATAAATAAGTTCTTTGTAATTAGACAAGTTGATTAATGGAATTCTCCAAAGATTTTTGCTTTTGTTCAACGATGAGACTCCAATGATTTCTTGTAGATTAGACCTGCACAAAATCTTAGGGGCTTAGAGCTTAGTAGCAGGAATCGTGCAAACAAATGCCGTTTCTTTTGAGAGAGAATCGCGTTTCTATCTAAGATGGGATCGATGGTGAAAATCAAAAGAGACATTGACTGAGAGAGGGAGAGAAGAACCTGATCTGGTCTTGTGATTGCCAAAATCATGACTTCCCTCTCTCTCTCTCTCTCTCTCTAAGCTTTTTCTTTGTACAAGGAAACTAAAGAGTATTAAACTTGAGACTATATATTATATATTATAAATTAATATCATATTATACAAGGTGAATTTTGATTTGACTCTTCTTTGGCAAGTAATAGAATCCAACTGATTCTGTATTGTAAAAAGTTGATTGTGCCTTGTATTGCAAAATGTGCATTGCACAAATACATAAAGAATCCAGATCACTAATTATTATCCCATGTGGCCGTTGTGTTGACCAACTCAAAAATAATAAATATATATACTATGAATAAAAAAATAAATGTATATAAAATAATTAACAAGAACACATATTATATATTTGATTTTGATAAATTGATATATTTAAATAAGCCAAAATATATGCCTTGCTATATTTTTTTAATTATTTTACATTATGGTCATGTTTGTTTGGATGGACATGAGCTTAGGATTGAATTAATAGTCTAATAAAATTATTAATCCGATATTTGGTTAAACAATTGAAATACGGACTAACACCCCATCCGGATATGGTATCCCACATATGATGAACTATTCAATCCCACAGAAGGGGTGGGATATAAATTGAAAAACTAAGTCAAAGTTTGGACTGTTACTCAGTCCTTATAATCCTAACTTAATCCAAACATAGGATAGGATACACAATCTAAAAGGATTTGTAGTCCTAGGACTATTAGTTATGGGAATGCTAATCCAATCTAATCCAGTCCGCCCAAACAAACATGGCCTATATATAATACATAAGCGCTCCTGAGGTGCTCCTAACCTAAGAAACTTCTATGTGTTCACACTCCCGCTCCTGCTTTTTGCAACTAAGGCTTACAGAGATTACAAGATTACTAACCTTCTTTTTCTTCTTATTCCTTATTTCACTTTTCAATACCAATAGCCAATATTTGTAGCCACAACCAACCATTCTAAGACCCTAGTTCATCCCTGAATCTAAATCCCTAGTTACCCTATTATAATATCCCTGAAATCCTTGATAAACCCCTTCTGTCTTGAAAATCCAACAAGCTTACCTATTTGATTGTTCACCCTAGAAAGCCCTAAACCTTTTCAAGTCTAAATCCATCCTTGAACCATAATCTTAACTTTTCCACCATAAGCACTATATGTTAAAGGCCTAGCCACCATACAGTCCATACCTAATCATAGGGAAACCTTTATTAGGCTCCATCCCATATCAACTAACTTACCCATTTTGTAGCCCTCACAAGTGCTATCTCTCTCATCCTCATTCCATCCTTGTCTCCCATCATCTCTCTTCTTTTTCCAATATTCTTTGACTTATCAATAACAATTGAGTTCCCATTAACACCTCTCTCTCTCTCTCTCTCTCTCTCTCTAAACTAAAAACCAACAAACAAGAGTAATAAAAGAAAATATTATATGGTTTTAGGTTTGAGTTTAGATTTTATATAGAATTAAGAGAAGATACTATGGGGGCCCCCCCCCTTCTTTTTTTCTCCTTTTGATATTTCCTCATTCCAAACACCACAAAATTATCAAGGAATTGCTAGGAATGTGCTCTTACAGAAAACACCATGAAGGCCTACTTATGTCATCATCATATTATTGTAGCATTGTGGCTAGATTGAGATCTAGTAACATTGCATATGCCATGAGTGAATCTTACTTCCCTTTCCCTAAAACTGGCTGGCTCATCAGAGAATCATTGTCATGGGAAAGGAATTAATGTAGATCTAATGAAGACAAATAAGGCCCAGTTTCCTCAACAGATAGCTTCCAATGATCCAGCAGACACAACAAAGTGTCAACAAACCAAAATTATATTGTTGGCTCTCTAACCTTTACTAGGCTTCATCCTATATCAACTGCAGTGCCTTATGCCTTGCTCCAGCAGGCACAACAAAGTGTAAATACAAAATTGCAGATTTTGAGATCCATAATATTGCTTGTATTGGCTCTCTAATCATTTTATAGGGTCATAGATTTCAAGGGTGCAGCAGATATGGTTTGTTTCAAATTGTTCTCCTCATAACAGCGAAGGTTATATTTCATCTGACAGACACACAAACACACACACAAATAAATAAATAAAAATTTGTTCCCTTTTACAGTTGTCTATCCACCACCTCCAATGACCATTCACTAGCACAACCTTCCATTATTATCTCCTAAGGAATTTGATCATTTTAAGTATTATATCATGGAAAATGCTAAAAACAACCCTTTTTAAAAAGTGTATAGAAATATATAAAAATATGTGAAAGTGTTTTAGGATATGTGAAATATGTATCGGAATTATAAATATTTTAGCATTATATGCTACTCATTGACAGCCCTTAGCAGGACCTTATATATCATCTTTAATCTCCATCAGAAATATTGAGAAGAGTAGCAAAACAACTTTTGAGTGTCAATCAAAGAAGACCAACTGTGGTAGACGGTGACAAATAATTTAAACCCAGTATCATAAACAGTAAATAATCAAGTTCCAACATGCACATGTTGGTTGGTTCATCGCAAGGAAATCCAAATCGCAGAGTCATGATAAAAGTAAAACTCAAGCAAATCTTAAAATATTTTATCAAAAAAATAAAAATAAAAATAAAAAGGAAATCATGGATTTCATACGCAAGCTAACAGGTATGCCTCCATCAAGGAATCACTCATCTTACCGGGACTGCAAGAGGTCGGAATATCCTTTTGCGAATTCGAAGCCATGACCAGCTGTCTTTATCACACACACACATACACGGAGAGAGAGAGAGAGAGAGAGAGAGAGAGAATAGAATAGAATAGAATGTTAAAATCCAGAAGTTGTCTACAGAAAAAGACCTTGAATAAATAGGTGTTAAACATGAAATCAAACAATCTAAGCCAATTCCAAAAGCCAAATCGCAGAAACCCCAAATAGTAGCGTAACTGTAAGAACAACAGTAAGACTAAAACCTTATGATGACGGCTTAGATAGGCTCCGACGCACTGGATTGCCTCGCGTGCTTTTCAAAATTGAAGGAGAAACTTTCTCAATTCACTATCTTGAACGGATTTGATTTTAAAACCCCTATTCACCTCACCACCGAAAATTCGATGCAAGTTTCAGTGGGCCACCTCAATCCTTATCTCCCCAAATGAATGGTTCCTACTTCTACACTGCGATAGCAAGACATCAAACATTTTTGGATAAATTACGCTTGCTCACTTGACGTTTGTACAAATACAGTAAACTCAATTTTAACAGAATTATATTCACTTTGTTTTGGGTAGGCGTGAGTATCGTTAGGATTAGATGGGATTGGGATAAGATTAGGATTAACTGGTTATTTACGGTTTTTAAAAAATTAAAATCAATTTAATTCGTTTAAATCATGGAATCAATCTATTTAAATACGGATTGGATCGATTTAGGATCACAGATTTATATAATTAAATAACGAAAATATATTTATAACACTTTAATTTTATAAAAATATAAACATAGCGCTATATTAGTTTCACAATAGCAACATATTTTTCTATAGTAGCGACATACTGGCCTAAAATTTAAACAATCATAAGAAAATTAGTTTCACTATAAGTACTTAAACCATTACAATTTAAAATTAAAAACCAACAAACAAGAGTAATAAAAGAAAATATTATATGGTTTTAGGTTTGAGTTTAGATTTTATATAGAATTAAGAGAAGATACTATGGGGGAAGATGTATAATAAAAATATAGACTATTTGTATACGGTTCGGATCGGTTCCAATCCGGAACCAATCCGTAAACTACGGATTTTTAATTCTTCAATCCGGAACCGAACCGCGGATTCAAAAAACCAATCCAAACCTATCGGATTGGACTGGATTGGATCGGATTACGGATTTCATAGATCACTTGCTCAGCCCTAGTTTTGGGGGAGATTTATTTATACCAAACAAAAATACAATAAATTACGCTTGCCTTTTGTCCTATTCAAATAAAGTCTAGAAATTATTCTTGTAGCGTAGTTAGCCTCATGTATTTATAATTTTATTCCGTAACATCTTTTTTTCTTGATTTAGATTTTTTATTGGACTATTATACTCTTATTTTATTTTATTCATATGTATTACACACAAAATAAGATATACACATTTTTTCATATTTTGTTCTTTTTGATATATACAGTTTTCATTTTTTTCTTTTTTCTATTTTAGCAATGAATAATGCTTGAGGGCCCGAAATTAGTGACTCGAATTTGGCTCAAAACCCAAAACGACGTCGTTTTGGGTTTTGAGCCAAATTCGAGTCACTAATTTCGGGCCCTTTTTTTTTTTTTTTTTTTTTTTTTTTCTTTTCTTCCGCCATTTTCTTCTTCTTCGTCTTCTTCGCAGAGACAGAGAGGGAGAGGGAGAGAAAGAGAAGAGAGAAAGAGAGAGAGAGGGAAGACAGGTCGCCGGTCGCCGATCGCGTCGCCGCGCCTCCGTCGCCGATCGCCGCCTCTGCTCGTCGCCGTGCCTCCGCCTCCGTCGCCGATCGCCGCCTCTGCTCGTCGCCGTGCCTCCGCCTCCGTCGCCGATCGCCGCCTCTGCTCGTCGCCGTGCCTCCGCCTCCGTCGCCGATCGCCGCCTCTGCTCGTCGCCGTGCCTCCGCCTCCGTCGCCGATCGCCGCCTCTGCTCGTCGCCGCGCCTCCGCCTCTGTAGCCGATCGCCACCTCTTCTTCCTCCGTCTTCTTCCTCCATTTTTTAGGCCCCCTCCAGTCCTTCCTCCCCCTCTTCCTCCTCCTCCTCCCTCCCCCTCCCCCTCCCCTCCTTCTCTTCTTCGTCTGCTGAAAAAAAAAAAAAAAAAAAAAATTCGGGGCATTCGGGCCACCCCCTTTCGGGCCCTCTATCACTGCCGTTTAGCAATTTTGCATGATCACTGTTTGCTGGGCATTCATTTTTTTCTCTTTCTAAAACAATGTGAATGTTCACATTGATTTTATAATCTCTAAAAATATCACAATATCAACATTGCAATAATCACGAACCATCATTTCTATGTGTATATAAGCATGAAGTATACATTTATGCACAATCAAATTATTGATATGAGTGTTAACATCACGAATAAAATATCAAATAAATTAGTTTAGTCACATGAAACTAATAGTTATGTGTACATAATTATAAAGCAACAGAAACTAATGTGAATATTAGCATTGACTTTGTAATAGCAAACATTTTAATAACATACCAGTGTACCTTATTAGGCACAACCAAAATAATTAATTCTAGTTCTTTTGTTCAGTCAATATATATTCCAATATTTTTACAAAATTGCAAAAGATGTGAAGTTCACATCCATTCGTAGTGGATAGATTGCTTTTTGTATGTAAATCATGGGTTTTGTATCGGAGAAAATCATAATATTTACATCAATAATAGATTTTGGCATGCTTGTATGCTTTCAACGCGCGTACAATGACATCATCAAACTTCATGCATTTGGTGTAACGACTCCAAAATGCACGTCACAATTATATTTATTTAATTATGCGATAATACGAATTAATTTGAAAATATCTGATGCGGCTACAACTTCAGGACTGAAATTGATGACATAAATAGGTTCAGAAATCAAAATTGAGTACAAGGATTTGTTAATTGGAATTTTTAGAGTTACCCGAAAAGTTTAATTAAAAATTAATTCCGTCTGATTCGCTAATTTTAATAGTTTGGAATTAAATAATTGAATAGGAATTGGAGCTTAATACACATTAGTATAATTTAATTTAGTGTAATTAAGATTTTAAGATATTGAGACTAATTTACTTTGAGTCAAATTAATCTTAATTAATCTCTTAGCCTTAGATAATTTTACTTAATTTACTAATCTATTTAATTTGAGCCTAGTGTCTTTCATACTCATCAAATGAGTTTAGATGAGAGAGCTAGTGGGTCTTGTTGAATGGCTTCACACTATACACGTAGAGAGAGGAAGAGAGACTTGAAAGTGTAAACTCAACTCAGGAAAAGAAGAAAAAGAAAGTAAAGAAAAGAACACCTAGAGAAAGAAGAAATTTGAAGGAAAAGTAGGAATTCAACTCAATTCTCTAACTTTAGGTAAGAATTCCTTGCTTGTATCTCACCAATTTGAAGAATCACATTCATATGTATGGAATTCTAGATTATTTAAGAAGAATATAAACTTGATGAGGTGAATTAAACTTGATTGTAAGAGATGTTGATATAAATAAAAAATGTATATATGCATATTAAGATTTTTAATGATTCATGAACATACATTCATTCTCTTGCATGGATTCACAAAATGAAGTAATTTTCCATGAGAGTTGAGGATTTTCCACAGATAGTCTCAAGTCATGGGCGACGGCATGTAAATGCGGGTCCATGACATATATGTGATTACGAGATCTCGTTAGCCACTTCATTGTGGTGATATGTGTTTAATCGGTATCCGGAACCGATTACTCTAGTCAGAAGACGATATGTGATATGTTCTGTGAAATGTACCATTATGTTATGTTCTGATATGAGACTGATATGAATGATCGTGTCATGATTTGTTTTATGGATATGATATATTTGGAATTCGTTCACTAACCCCTTTACTTTAATGTTATTCATTGGGTTTTAACTCACTGTTTATATATGTATGTATAGGTGAGCGTTCTGGAGGACAAGCCTAGAAGGAGTCTTTAGTCAAGCCACCGTTTTGAAGCCTACCGCATGGTTTTGAGTGCCTCAGAGTTGAGGCTAGGCCTAGAAGGCCGTTGTCAAGCTTTTGATCGTGAAATGAACTTTTATTATGTTCATATGTTATGTATAAGATGTTAAGTTATAAGTTATATACTGAATGTGGGCAAATTAACGTTTTTGCATGTGAATATTTGTTCATGTAGATGCACAACTCATTGGACTATTAGTGTTTTTTTGTATAGTGCTTCCGCTAGCCCCGATTATTTATGATTATACAGGAAGGCCTTTGGTAATGTCAGATTACTGGCCGGTTACGACGCCGAACCTATAGGGGTGGGTTTGGGCTATAGGTTTGGGTTGCAACATTTGGCGTGGTCGATGTTAGCTTTCATCAATGCATCAAATAATATCCAAAATGGAGTTTGCCTCAAACAATTCAACTCAGCCTCTGAGAACTTGGTGCTCGTCATCAATTTAATTAAGCCTGTAATATTTGATCAGTGGTAGTTAACACAATGCATGTCGATGTGGGTGCTCCTCTCTATCGGCACGTTATCGTCTTTGACATGGTAATCCTCTCTATTCCTTTTTGTGCGAAATTTAGGACAACATCTGCTACATAGATATGCACATTAGTGAGTGTTTATATGAATATTCAAATTGTTAACATCACAAAACAGTTAAACTTAAATCAGTAGTGAAGGTTCACATTAAAATCAAACTACAATTAGAAGACACTTTATTATTTGGAGGTTAGCTTGATGTGAATGTTCACAATATATCATACAAATGGGTACATCCACAACAATCATGTAACAATTTTTTTCACAGCATGGGCCACTAAGACATCACCAACATATCATTGATTTCAAAGTATATTATATTGACAAGAACATAATTTCTCAACACAAAAGAAATATTTACATACTATCTCAACAGTAACATTCACATAATAACCATATTGACCAAACCTATGTAACAATTATTTTTGCAATAAGAATAATGTGAATATTCACACTGACATTCACATGAGCCATATTGTGAATAATGTTAAACTTTAGGAAAATCTAATTAAGCCATAATTATAGCAACACAAAACCATTATGTTTAAAATAAAAATGGCTTGTATAGTGTTAACATGCACAGAAAAATATTGAACAATATATGAATATTCACATAAATTACTGAGAGTACAAAAATGAGAATAAACCTCAAAATCAAACACCATATGATATGAATGTTCACAGCCATTAACAGGGGGGTGGACAATTTAAGTCGATTGTGAATGTTCACATCAGAATAACATACAACAACAACAATTGAAACAAGCGAGTTGGTCCACAATTGTGTTTTTCATGTGAATGTTCACTACTATCAATAACAACAATAACAACTGTTACTGTAATTTTTTTTTCATGAAAAAAATCATATCTTTGGGGTGAGGGGTTCATATTAAATCATGAATAGTATTAATAACAATAATATGAGCTTCTACACTTTATATGAATAGAATCAAGGGATATGTGTGGAAACCTACATTGGTGCAAATTCAAGAAGAGTTTTAGGGTTTGTATAGAAAATAGGTGATGAATACTTACGTTTGGTGACCATTTCGATGGTTTGGTTGCCACAGGTGGTTGGCAATGCTGATTCCGGTGAAGATGGAGACGACAATGGTGATTTCGGCAAAGAACGACACAGAGATGATGAACATCGTGATGAGACGGGGAGAGGGAAAATAGGGGATTGATGACTAGGGTTTAGGGTTTTGAAAGGTTAAGAGATCTTCTCCGCGATTTTCTAAGAGAGAGAGAGAGAGAGAGAGAGTGTGTGTGTGTGTGTGTGTGTGTGTGTGTATGTTATTTGGTTCAAACATGATGAACATGGGTTTTGGCTTGAGGGGTTTTGGTCTTTATATAATGAGTAGGACTTAATGGAATAATCTAAAACGTTTTGGGTTGTATAGTAAAGAACTCCTAGAAAGGGGATTTACTAAAAAAGCTCCTCTCTCTTTTTTTTTTTTTTTTATAGTAATGTTAAATGGATTAAAACTAATTTAAATAAGTATATTTTTTTTAATGAAAAGATGTGCAAAAAAAATAAAGAGGTGATGTGACCTAAATAAGTGTACTTATCTAAATAAATGCAGTTATATAGGTTATGCTAAACACCACTCAAATAGTTCGAAAACACAAAAATAAACAATATAAAGCATACATTTTCATATAAAGAATATGACAACACCATTTTTTTCATCTATATAACTAACAAATTATTGATAAAAATAAATTTATGAATTAAAATCTCCAATGAATTCAACATACTTATGTTAAAATTGTGAAACTTGTTGTATTTTTTCTAAATTTCAAAAGAAATCAGTATAATTTACCCAATATTTTTTTAATATAAATTATACCATTAATCCCGTAGTTTAAACAAATGGTCACATCAGTCTTCATATTTTCAGTTTGAACTATTTGAATGCTATCTTTTTAGTTTTGTTGCAATGTTATCCCTCTATCACTTGTTATTATATTATGTACAAAATTAGAAAGCTCAAAGTAGAATTCAAAAGAAACTATAAATTCACTTTGATACCTCTAATTTTGCATATGATCTTTTTTTGTTCAAGATTCTAATCATGATAAGTAGCAAAGGGATTATATTACAACAAAATTGAAAATGTAAAATGTAAAATTATTCAAATTGAAAAGACCAATAATATAATTTACCTTTCTTTTATTTTTTTGCCTTCCCCAAATGGAAGAATTATAGGCATTGAAAGCACATTCTTATATCTTTAACATTAAGGCATATCCTTTAACATTAATAGATCATTTGGAAAGTGACTATTTTAATTGATTTTTTGACTTTTTACAAAAAGATATGTAATAAAATAAAAATAATAATGTGACAACTTATAATGACTTTTTAGCTGTATTAGTGGATGGGTCATTTTCACACAAAAAATTATTTATTGAAAACCAAGTAATAACTACTACTTCAAAAAATATCGGTTAAGACTAGGTATCGATCCACATATATTGTACTGATCCACATATATTGTACTGAGTAAACTATTACACCCTAGAGAGAGAGAGTGTGCCGATTGTAGAGAGAGAGAGAGAGCTCAAGTTAAAGAATTGAACAAGAAGCTTGAAGATCTTGAAGATTAACTCAAGAATTAACTAGAGTTTGGAAGATTGGAGCTCATGGTACGTAATTGGGCATGAATTCATGAGTTTGAGTTTGTAATTTTGTGGATTCAAGTTATATGGTAATCAATGACAAGAATTAAGTTGAATTTGAAGTCAATATGACTATGCATGTAGAGTATTGCCATGATATTGCATAATCAAGCATGTAGCATGTTAATTATGAGAAATTGAGAGTTGAATTATACATGCAAGCATAGTTTTGTTGAACTTCATGAGAATAAGTATCACTTATGTCATTGGAAATGGTATTAGGGTCTATATTACACATGCATGAATGATCCATAGAGATATGGAGTTTGCATGAAGTTAGAATGCATGAGTTTTGACCACGTCAAGAAGAATGTTAAATGATTTGGGAATTAAATCATGATTTTGGATAATTGGCCTCATATTGCTTGTGTCTTCATGATATATATTGTGTTCCCACGTTTTTGAACCAGAAACATGAGTTTTGGGCCTTTGAATGCTAAGTTTGAGCTTCAAGAACAATTCTGGAAATTTCAGAATTTGGCATGTTCACTCGAGCGGGGAAAGCGCAGCTCGAGTGTGAAATGTTAGTTCTGTTAAATGTATAGATGAGAAGAAGAAGAAGAAGAAGAAATAGAACAAGAGAAAACTGCTATAGATTATTGATTCAAAAAACTTAGGGTTTCCCCCTTACACACAACTACTTATACTAATAAGAATAATACATAAAGACCAAACTACCCCTAACACTTAACACTCCCCCTCAAGTTGGTGCAAAGATGTTTCTCATGCCCAACTTGCAACAAATAGGGTGAAAGGCTTTACTACTAAGACCCTTAGTAAAAACATCCGCCAGTTGATCTTCAGACTTAACAAAAGGCATACATATCACACCCTTATTCAATTTCTCCTTGATGAAATGTCTGTCAATCTCAATATGCTTAGTCTGGTCATGTTGAACAGGATTGTGTGCAATACTAATAGCAGCCTTGTTGTCGCAATACAAAGTCATGGGACCACTCCAATCAAGCCCTATATCACTCAACAAAGATTGAAGTCACATTAGTTCACATGTTCCATGTGCCATAGCCCTGTATTCAACTTCAGCACTAGATCTAGAAACGACCCCCTGCTTCTTACTATGCCATGTGACTAGATTTCCCCCTACAAAAGCACAATAACCAGATGTAGAGCGTCGGTCATCTATAGAGCCTACCCAATCTGCATCTGTGAATGCTTCCAACCTCAAGTGACCATGATTAGAGAACAAAATTCCTTTTCCAGGGACAGATTTAAGGTACCTCAAAATGTGATAGACTGCATCCAAATGAGTTACACGAGGATCATGCATAAACTGACTCACTATTCCAACTGTATAGGCAATATCTGGACGAGTATGAGAGAGATATATCAGTCTTCCCACAAGTCTTCGGTACCTTTCCTTCTCCACAGGCTCACCAATTCCACTACAAAGATGATGATTAGTCTCAATTGGTGAATCAGCTGGTCTGCAGCCCAACATGCCCGTTTCCTCAAAAAGATCTAGAATGTACTTCCTTTGAGAAATAAAGATGCCTTTGTCAGATCTAGCAACTTCAATCCCAAGGAAGTATCTCAATGGACCAAATTCTTTTATCTCAAACTCCTTGGCTAACTGCATCTTAAGATGGGTCACCTCCTCCTCATCATTACCTGTCACAACTATGTCATCCACGTATACAATAAGCACTGTTACCTTATGTACATTACGTTTGACAAACAAGGTGTGATCCGCATTGCTTTGCTGATACCCAAATCCCACCATTGCCTTGAGGAATCTACCAAACCAGGCTCTAGGAGATTGTTTCAAACCGTACAAAGCCTTCTTTAATCTACAAACCTTTCCAACTGTAGACTGAGATGAGAATCCTGGAGGTACATCCATATATACCTCCTCCTCCAAATCCCCATGAAGAAAAGCATTCTTCACATCTAGTTGTTGTAGAGACCATCCCAAATTAGCCGCACATGACAGAATAGTTCGAATGGAATTCATCTTTGCTACCGGGGCAAAAGTTTCTTGATAATCTATTCCATATGTTTGGGTAAATCCCTTGGCCACTAGTCTTGCTTTGTACCGTTCAATTGTCCCATCTGCATTGTGCTTAATGGTGAACACCCACTTACACCCGACTAGTTTTTTCCCATTAGGAAGAGATACCAACTCGCATGTGTTATTTTTACTCAAAGCTTACATTGCTTCTACCATAGCTACCTTCCACTTAGGATCATTGATGACTTCTTTCCAACCCTGCGAAATACACACAAAAGAAAGAGACGAAACAAAAGCACGATATGTAGAAGACAACAAATTATATGACACAAATTTAGAAATAGGGTGTTGAGTACAGGCTCTAACCCCCTTTTTCCCATTTGGAAGAGACACCAACTCCCATGTGTTATTTTTACTCAAAGCTTGCATCTCTTCTACCATAGCTACCTTCCACTTAGGATCATTGATGGCTTCTTTCCAACCCTGCGGAATACACACAGAAGAAAGGGACGAAACAAAAGCACGATACATAGAAGACAACGAATCATATGACACGAATTTAGAAATAGGGTGTTGAGTACAAGCTCTAACCCCCTTTCTGAAAGCAATAGGAAGACTCAAATCATCCGTAATAGGATCATCAACAACAGGTGAAGAAATGAGATGAGGATCATTACCTGAAGAGTTAGTGGAAACTGGGTGTGGAACTGGCATAGGAGATGATGATTGACTTGGTGGCACAAGAGAAGCCGGCTCTTTCTGACGCCGTGAATAAGTCTTAAGATCAGCTCTGTCCAAACGACCACCAATATCCGACTCCTCATCAACAGAACTCCTAGGCTCCCCCTCACCACAAATAACAGCCCGTTGAGGAGGAAGGAAAAAAGACAACTCATGCTGATATGATGCCGTCTCATCCGCAATCTCATCGATACCACGCTCCCCCTGAGGAGATGGCGGAGGACCAGGAAAAAAAGACTCAGATTCACGGAAGGTGACATCCATACTAACATACAACCTATGAGAGTGAGGGTCATAGCATTTGTAGCCTTTCTGAGTAGCAGAATAACCAAGAAAGACACACCGGACAGTCTTAGGATCAAGCTTCCCACGAGTCCGAGGTTGAAGATGAACAAAACAGACACTACCAAAAACCCGAGGCGGAAGAGAAGAAGTGGAATACGTCACAGGAAGAAGCTTAAGAGGAATTTGGAAGTGGAGGACACTAGAGGGCATACGGTTAATAAGATAAGCCGCGGTAAGAACCGCATCCCCCCAAAAAGACTTAGGAACGTTCATGGTAAACAAGAGAGAGCGAGCAACCTCAAGTAGATGGCCATTCTTACGTTCAGCAACTCTATTCTGTTCAGGAGTGCCAACACAACTAGTCTGATAAAGAATGCCATGGTCGTCGAGGTATGCCCGGAAAGCGCCATCAACATACTCAGTCCCATTATCACTCCTAAGAATTTTGATAGTAGCATTGAAGAGATTGGATACCATTTTATGAAAACTTTTGAAACATGAGAAAACTTCATTTTTTGTACGAAGTAAATAAAGCCAAGTCACACGGGAATAACAATCAATGAATGTGACAAACCATCGATAACCAGAGGTAGAAACAACAGGGGAAGGACCCCACACATCGGTATGAATAAGCATAAAATGAAAAGTACTTCTTTTATTAATTGAAGGATAACAAGTACGTTTATGCTTAGCAAGCTCACAAGCATCACAAACAAAGTTATTCCTAGGACAATCACGAACTAATAAAGGAAAAAGTTTCTCTAAAATGCTAAAGGAAGGATGCCCCAAACGGCGATGCCACTGATGAAGGAGACGAAGGGAGGAGCCAGAAGAGCATTGCAGAGCCTGAGAGGACAAAGGTGAGGCAGGCATGGCATCCAGAAAGTACAGACCACTTTGTGCTCTACCACTGCCAATCATTTTCCCCGTAGCCAGTTCCTGAAAGACACAATGAGCCGGAAAAAAGGTCACGGAGCAATTGAGAGCAGTAGTAAGGCTACTAACAGAAAGTAAGTTAGTTGAAAAATTAGGAACATGAAGAACAGATGAAAGCGAAAGTAAAGAGGTGCAACGAACAGAACCCTTGCCGGAGATAGAAGATAAAGTGCCATCAGTCACTCTAACCTTATCTCGCCCAGAACTAGGTGAATAAGAATGGAAAAAACTAGAAGTACCCGTCATGTGATCGGTAGCACCGGAATCAATGATCCAAGGAGACGACGAAGAAGCACTGAGGGCACTAGCAGAAATACCTGCATGAGCAAAGTTGGAAGAGGCAGAAGAGGAAGGAGCTAAGGCAGATGAAGAATCAAGTCGAGCCATCAAACGTCTGAGAGTGTGAAGCTCATCTGGGGAAATAGAACTAGCATCATTCGAGGCACTAGCAGTAGTCTCAGAAACATGTGCTTGAGGACGAACACCACGACCACGACCACGGCCACGGCCTCGAGTAGGGCGGCCATGCAACTTCCAACAGTGTTCTTTATCATGTCTATCTTTCCCACAATACTCACACTTCAACCGGTCCCGATCAACCAATGGACCCTTACCACCACCTGGAGGCAGAAAAGGTGGAGTATCACGTGACTTGGGGCCGACAACCATCGCTGACCGATCCAGAACAGGAGCATGCACCATAGCACTGCGACGACTCTCCTCTTGCTGAACCAGGGCATAAGCCTCACGCAATGTAGGAAACGGAGAGCGACCCAACACCTGAACCCGTATCTGATCATACTCCAAATTCAGACCAGCAAGAAAGTCATACACCCACTCTTTCTCCACAGTCTGCTGAAACATAGTGGCATCCTTGGAGCAAACTGGCTGGAAACTCTGGTAGAAATCTAGCTCTTGCCACAAACCACTCAACTCAGCATAGTAGACTGCCAGAGAGCGATCCTTCTGATCCAAACCCCTAATCGTCTTACGCAATTCATAGGCCTGTGCATCATTCCCTTGTTGAGAATACATTTGAGAGGCAGCTATCCAGATCTTGTGAGCAGTATCCATCAAGAGAAAAGTCCAACTAATGGTAGGCTCCATAGAATTGATGAGCCAGGTCATAACTAAAGCATTCTCAGAAATCCATTGAGCAGATAAAGTACTATCCTCAGTAGGTGGCTGGGTACTACTACCAGTAATATAGCCTGTCAAACGTCGGGCGGCATTCGCAAGACTACAGGAGCGGGACCAAATCAAGTAATTAAGACCATTAAGTTTGACCGGACTAATCTGGAGAGAAGGACTATCACCAAGAGTCAAACCATGACTCAGTCCACTCTCCTCCTTGCCCTTAGAGTCCTGACCCAAGCTGTCAGCCATGAGATGAGAAAAGAGGGTGCAAAAAACACAAGCCGGATATCAAACAAGTTCACAAATCACCCAACCAGCACACTAAACACCTTCTAAGGCTAAAACAGTCCAAAAGAAGCCCAGGACAGAGCAACCAGATCAACTACAAGTCAGAAAACCGAAGCAGAGCATCTGAACAGCGATAAAAATCCAAGATAGGGCCAAAATATATCAAACCAGGGACAACAAACCCCTCTAGGGTTCCAGTCGGCTCCTAAGGATAGGAGAAGAAGGGACAAAACCAGAAAAAAGAGGGTCAAACAGTAATTTTCGAAAAATCACCCAATTTTGATGAAAAATCAAAAAAATTAGAAAATTCAATCAATAATGACCAAACAATCAAAATAAGATTATAGGGTGATTACCCATTAAATTTCGAGCATACTGTAATTTTTTTTTTTTTTTTTTTTTTTTTTTTTTTTTTTGTGTGTGTGTGTGGCTATAACAGACGTACCAGGAACAATATGGGGCTCTAAGGAACAATCTTCAAGGAGGAAGATAGTGCTCTGATACCATGTTAAATGTATAGATGAGAAGAAGAAAAAGAAGAATAAGAAGAAGAAATAGAACAAGAGAAAACTGCTGTAGATTATTGATTCAAAAAACTTAGGGTTTCCCCCTTACACACAACTACTTATACTAATAAGAATAATACATAAAGACCAAACTACCCCTAACACTTAACAAGTTCCCAGAACTTTTGTAGACATTGGTGTATGCTCGAGCGTAAAGAGACATGCTCGAGCGCCCAACCACGTATTTTGACTCTCAACTCGAGCGTCTGAAGTCACGCTCGAGTGTAAAAATGAGACAACCAGTACTTTTGCAGACCAAAGGGGGTCTGCTCGAGCGTCAGAAACCATGCTCGAGCGGGGAGCTCTGTTTCAGAAATTTTATAAAGATGATTTTATGTTTTGTTTCCATTCTCTTTCATTTCTAAGCACTCTTAGGTATACATTGAACATTATAAATGGATGTAGAAGATAAGAAAGAGGCCTAAGAAGAATATATGAATTAAAAACGGATTGAATCGCTTGTGACCCATTATGTTTATGAAATGTGTAGGGTCAAGCACAAGGGCAAATCATCCAGCGGATCACTGTAAGTAATGTCTTAGTAAAGATATTTTGAAGTATGCTATTTGTCCAATTATTTACTCCTATTTGAATTTCGTAAGCTTGTCAATTTGGATCGGGGACAAATATCTGTCTGACATGAATGATTGGGCCAAAGGCCGTCTGATATGAATGAATTGGGCTTGAGGCCGTTTGCTAAAAATCAAAGTAGGCCAGAGGCCGTTGATACGTCTAGGTTTTTAATCGTTTGATACACTAGATAGAAACATGAATTGGGCCCAAGGCCGTCTAATGCATCTGTTTCAAATTTCGTTCATGTACCTTCTTTATTTTGATATTATTTACTGGGCTTTCGCTCACTCTCATTCATGTGTCTGTGAAGTATGTGAGAAACAGTCGAAGTTTTGGAGAGTCAGCCCAAACATTTCATGCACGAGACTTGTTTTTGCCCTTTTGTTCTTTTGTTGTATTTTTGCTAATGTTGGCGAAAACGTTGGACCACCTTTGTATATAAGTTTTGTTTGGCTGACTGCATAACTGAAAGTTCCTAGATATAGATTAACTCTATGGGTAAGTGTAAGTTATTGCGAAATACTTTTGGAATGATTTTGCTATACCATGTAAGCCTAGCTCTATGAACAAAGTTTTTAAGTTTGCTTCCGTTTTGGCCTCTTAACTCTGTTGAAATACATTTTATTTGGTTTGAGACTATAGGTAATCTCCTGATTACTGGCCAGTTATGACCTTAATTCATAGGGGCAGGTTCGGGTCATGACAGCCTACTAATTTGTTTTACGTTAATTTAAGTAGCTAATTTCCTGGGTAACTAAGAA